GAAAAGAACTTCAGCAAGTCATAAACAACTTCTTACGCCTGCGTCTTCTAGTATTTGCTTCCACCGATCCATACTCAAATGACCTGGACAGTTCCATCTTGGATGCTTCTACTTCAATGAATTTCGATAAGTTGAAGCATTTAAGATGTCTTTTTTTCAATTGCTCTGGAAGAAAAGAAATTCCAAACTCAATTAGTAACTTGGCTAATCTGCAAGTACTGAAACTCTTTAACAGCCAGTCACTAGAAGAACTGCCAAAGGATATTGAGAAGCTTATTAATTTGGAGCATTTTGAGCTCGATGCAGACCTAACCCATATGCCAAAGGGGATTGGGAAGCTGAAGTTTCTCCAAACGCTACCAATTTTTGTCGTGGGGAAGAGGAGCGGTAGTATTAGCAATGACAAGACAGTTGGGGCTGAGTTGGATGAGCTGAAAGGATTAAATGCATTGCGTGGAGAGTTGACAATTAAAGGCTTGGAAAATGCCAACACTCCAGGAAAAGGTATATATGTTCTGAATGAAAAGCTACATCTTCAGTCACTGGTTTTAGTTTGGGGAAGTTTCTGGTATCGGGGCACAGATGATGACACTGATGAGGATGTTCATGATGTTCGTCTCTCGTCTACTCGTCATGACGAGGTATGGGAAATGCTCAATCCGCACTGTAATTTGAAGAAATTGGTGATACATGGAGGTAATGAAGGCATGAAGTTTCCTAACTGGTTTTCTGGCCTCACCAATTTGGTTGAGTTCTCATTACAAGATTGCCAGCAATGTGAGTACCTCCCTCCACAAATTCATGAAATGCCGAGTTTGAAGACGCTTACAATTAAAAATTGCCCGCTGTTGAAGGGCATCGAGGATGATGGCTATCATCGTGATTCTTCACTGAACAAGTCAGCAACAAGATTAACAATAGAGGAAGAGGATTGTAAGCGGCCTCGATTTTCTTGTCTTGTAAACTTGTGCATTGAGAGTTGCCCAAGGCTAACTCAGTTGCCGACTTTCCCTACTGTTGAAGTCGAGGTGAGGTTGGTAAAGGTGAGCTTGGCACCATTAGCTAGGACTATGAAGATGGAGATGAGGAGAGAAGGAGGTGTTGGTTATACTGATGAATATGCATACTTTGATGATACAAATATCCATCCTCTTCGTACTTCTTCATCTTCAGCATTAGTCCACTCACTTTCCAAGTTGACCAACTTGTTCTTAAAGAAGATTGATGACGATCTCGAATCCCTATCACACCATGACTCAAGCAGTTGTCTCGTCTCTCTTCAGGAGTTAACAATTCGAAAATGCTCTCGAGGGCTAAAGCTTCCGAGTTCATTGTGTTCCAGTGCGAGCTTGATGAAGATTTGCTTACAACAATGTGAGACGGTAGAGTACCTACCACCCATACATGGACTCCCATCCTTGAGAGAACTAATTATTCAGTTTTGTCCTAATCTGAAGGGATGTTGGTGGAAGAAAAAGAAGGGGAATAATGATAATTACGACAATGGTGGCGATGATGATTATTATAACTTTGATCCTTCAATGGAAGAAGAGGAAGAGGAAGATGAAAAGGAAGATGAGGAGTGGCCCCGTTTCCCTTCTCTTTTGAAATTGGCTATTATATGGTGTCCAAGCCTGACTCGGATGCCTCTGTTTCCTACCGTTGAAGTGTTGAGGCTGGAGAGAACCAGCTCAAAGGCCCTAATGCAGACAATGAAGATGCAAGTAGTGGGAGCTGCACATCATGATTCTCAACAACATTCCACTACATCAGCAGCTACCTCTCCTTCTTCCCAATGGACTGGGCTCGACATTCCACTAGCTAACTTGGGAAGGTTGAGTCTTTGTCGAATGGACAATTTGGAATCTCTACCAGAAGAAGGCCTCTGCAACCTCACTTCTCTTCGTCACTTGGAGATTGAAGAATGTCCAAGATTAGCATCTCTGCCTCCAGCAATGCGACATCTCACCTCTTTACGCAGATTGGAAATTTTGTGGTGTCATCAGCTGACAATAAGATGCCGAAAGGGTAAAGGCGAAGATTGGCCCAACATTTCCCACATCCCCGAGATAATTGTGGACGAAATTTGACGATTCAGGTTGGGTTCCCTGAGATCTCTTTCAAGTTTCACATCCTTAGCTAAGTTAATCAAATCATCGTGTCCTTATCAGTAGCATTTATCTGTTTTCGTTTCCCAAAAGTGAACAAACATTAGCCTAGTAGTATTCCACAGAGTCTTTACATGGTCGTGGGTTCCCTCAGTAAATGGTCGAGTCTCTATGAATCCTGGTGGGTTCTTCAGTTCCATTTCACTCGTTCAGGACCCACTCTTAACAACATATCATTCTCGTTGTTGCTACTAATCATCGAATTTCATATTTTAATTGCTAGAACTAGTCTACTATAATGAGATAAATCTAGAACTACAACTAATCCATTGCATTTTTCCAAATCCTAACTCCTAGATTCTAAATCCTAAACCACCAACTCAAAATCACTAAAATACTAGTAAATCCTAAATAATTTTTGTGCATATTTTTCCATCTTCTATTTTATTGTATTGCAATTAAAAATTGTGATAATTTTGCCTTGAATTAGCTATACTCAAAATGACGATCTGTGGTATGCACCCCAAAACAGGTGCATCTGGTATAATGAATGTATTTCGACTTAATTATTGTTTTTAAGAATTAGAGAACCAAGGTGTAAGGTTTACTATTTGAGGTTGCGTATCCTACTACTGTCTAGTTTAATCACTTACAAAGTTGAGGTTTTCTTCACTGTATATATACCCCAAATCTACAGTGAGACGATGGTAGCAGCTTCTGTGTACAAGTTGATGAAGCGCGACAGTCAGAGTCTACTACTAGGAATCTCATTACAGTGAGACGATGGTAGCAGCTTCTGTATACACGTTGATTTTTTGTTGCTGATGTCCTATTGGTTGCGGGCTTGCAGCTTCTGCTGGCACCCAGGGTTTTGTTGTCATGACACTCTTCTTCTTTTTTTAATACTGTCATGCTTCATTTGATCAATCAGGAGCAAGAATTTGAAGGCATGGGTAATTGGCTGCCCGAAGACAATTGATGGTGATCTGAAATGCAAAGAGGTCCCCACCAGTTTCGGATTTGACACCGCCTAGAAGGTGATTAGGAGTCATGTTCTTTTGTATTTTGTTCTCATGTTCAAAGTCATGTTCACGATAAAAGAAATAGTGTTAGAGGAGTGTCTGCTTTCCCATTACAGTCTCGGATCTGAATCTGAATGCATTTCAAATAGATTTTGCTACTTGTTCGCTGTATCCTAATTAGTCAGAGTATTTGTTTGTGACGAGGAATGCAGATATGCGCTGAAGTGATTGGCAATGTCATGATTGATGCCTGATCAACTGGGAAATATTACCACTGTAAGTGAATTTTCTTGATGCTTTTCGTCCTATGTAACCATTTTACGAGTTTGAGTTAAGTTATATTAAACATTTTGGAGAAATGCTTCCGAAACATTCTGTTCGTTTGTAGTGGTGCAGTCCTCTAAGAGTTAAGGTGTCCCAGGATGGATACTACCTTTTTCTCTGCATCATAAGAAAGAAATTTGCCTATGGCTCTTTGAAATTCTTCTATTTCAATGACTTATTTCTAAGGCATTGACTTGTTAGTTGTCATACGCTTACTTCTTTGGGCCTATGTATTACTGGTCACGGAATGATAGATGATATACTCACATAAGTGTTATTGAGTAAAAAGTTGGGCCTCCGTTTTGCTCTGTGGAGTGGTTACACGTTTCATCAGCAAGCATGGTTTATAGGCAGAGTTGGAACCACAGTTCAAACCTAAGCTCAGTAGAACAATTGAGTAAGTTGAGCCTTACGTCTTACGTTGATGGTTCTGAGAGGTTCATGGGAATTCCTCTGTTGTCACTATGTTGGCCATTTTTTTGTATTCAAGTTCGTGTATGTAGAGCTATGCATTCTTATTATATTTCTTGCTATGTCTTGCCCTTCAGCAACGTCTGCCTCCCCATCTATCAATTCATAGGCACACATGATACCGTCTCTTGCTGTCTTTATAAGAATTCATTTTTACTGCTTTGTTCCATTTGTACGGCTGATGGGTCGTGCTGCCTCCCACATTACCTTGGAATGTTGCCGATTACATGGTTGATGTGATCCCCAAACATGCTGAACTTGGTAATAACTATGGTGTTATCCTCGTTCCGGAGGGCTTGATTGATTTCATCCCTGAGGTATCCCAATTGCTGTTTTGTTTATGTTCATCGTTAATCCCTGCTTAATGTGAGGATTTGGAACCCGACTGGCCTGGTTGGTCGAGCAATTGCTTAATTATTTATTATTTTTCAGGTATGAAGGGGATGTGGTTTGCCAACTAATTTTGATTCTATGTACTGTTATGCACTGGGCTATGCTGCTGCTGTTCTTCTCCACAGTGGGAAGACTGGGTTGATTTCATCAGTAAGTCCATACAACTTTTTGTTGCCGACACTTATTGTCACTGGTCCACTTCCTAATCTCTCTTCATTTCGCTTCATTTTCCCTGTCAAGCTTTTCTTCTAAGCTATCTTTAGTGTCTTGCTTGATCTGAGGGGAGTAATATCAATACTATTTAAATTCTTCAAAGAGAACATCAATAATCTTTCCATGATAACATTTTCATCTATTGAATTTTATGTTGGTTGTATCCCAGGTTGGAAATCTGGGTACCCCTGTTTCAGAATGGACGGTGGGTGGGACTGCATTGACTTTCCTTGATGGATGTGGAAAGAAGACATGGTAAAGTTTTGTTCATGCCGACAACATGAACTTCTGTTGCGGGTAGTAACTTGTGGCAGGGAACCAGGATTTGGATAAAATTGTTACGGCATGTTAATCACGAATTTGTTGCATCCTGGGATTCCTTGATGAATGTTTTCCTCCATATTTAGTCTCGGGAGGTGCTGCTTGAGTACTGATACTCTTCGCTTTCCCTGTTATTTGTTTTGACTAGGTAAAAACAAGCCCGTTATCAAGAAGGCAATGGTAGAGCTCGAAGGTAATTGTTGTCTATTGATACTCCCTTACTATTCTCGATTTAGCAAAGCACGCACAGTGGTTACCATTTCAGCTGCAGTCTAATCAGCGTAAATATTTCAGGTGCACCTTTCAAAAAGTTTGCCTCAACGCGGGAAGAGTGGGCTCTGAAGAACATATACATCAGTCCTGGTATGTGTAGTCACTGAACCGATGACCTCATACAGTTCGAAATGTCATCCATTTCCGCGCTTGTACGCTAGGTGCATGCAGTGTGTTGATCCTGGTTTTTCGACGTTTTTGCAGGTCCTATTCAGTTCATGGGACCTGGTGCTGATGATGTCAATCACACCTTGCTGTTGGAACTTGGACTTGTTGCTGCTTAAGGCGCGGAATGAAGTGATTGCTTCTTCGTATTCGTTTATTCCATTTGCTTCGGTTATTTTTCGTAAGCGCATGCTTATGCTGTTCGATCACATTCGTTCAGCGTTCCATCGATATAGTGCAAACTGACTTGTCTGTCCTGATGTGATTTGTTAGACTAGATGAATAATTGCATTTCCTCTCTCCACTTGCTGCATGAACATCAGTGTATTCACTTTGGGTGTGTTGTGGGAGAAATGAATATATCACCAAAATGTCTCGGTATATCGTGTATTCTGTTGTACTGTCTAATTATCGTTCTTGTCAATCTATTGCATTCCAGTTTCAGTTTTTCTACTCCTAAACGTTTGTGCTTTGTCAAAAGAAATGCGTTTGATTTCACGAAATCAAATTCGAAACGCAATAAATTCACGATATTGGAGAAGATGAAGTATATAATGTCGTCTCAGACCCCATGTTTCATATATTTACAAACTAGTCCAAGATCCTACCATGTGCAGTTTATTCTTTCAACGGCCCATTTTCATACAATCCTAAAGTTTGGTGGCCATTCAGACATTTAACCACCCAACACTTTTGCCTTTTGGCGGAACCGCGAAATTGATGGAGAAATAGGCCATTAGGGTTTTACGCACACTGAAGAAGAAACAGAGAGTGTAGCGAAGAGAAGAGGATACGAAGCCATGAATGGCGGAGGAGACGCCCAAAACGGGCCAGCAAAGCAGCTGACGGCCGAATCACTGCCCGTGTTCAACGAAGGAGTATACTTGATTCTCTCCCGATGGTCTGCTCTCCAGCTCGCCATCGAAGAAGAATGGGCTGGCCGCCGCTCCCGCCAGTTGGCCGATCAACTCGCTTCCGACATCTTCTCCTGGTTCACCCAGGCCAAAGGTAAAAATGCCTTGCTAGTGTCTAGAATAGGTCTAATTCGGAATGAGGAAATTCGATTCTGGTTAGATTTGCGGTTCCTTGTTTCAAATTGCTATTGCTGATTCTTTTATTCGGGTTTTCCGTGTTGAGTCCAGCCGAGCCGCTTTACATCGATGATTTAGAGAACGTTCTCGACGAAGGGATGCTTTCTCTCAATTGCGAGATTGACGATGGTAGCGTAGAGGAGGTAAAGGGGATTTGGGTTTTCTCGTGTGGTGATTTCCTTTCTCTGTTGATGCTTAATCTTTGCTGAAAAGTTCCGTGTGTTTTTCGCCATGGTAGGTGGCCGAGAAGTTGATGATTATGCATGAGGAATGTTTGGAAGGTGATTATAGCTCTGTTGAGAAGTTGAGAAGAGCAGGGCCTGCAGCAGGGACTCAACAACATATTAGACAGGTTTAACTCTTTTTAAGAACTGTAATATGGGGGGTTTTCACTAGTTCTTGGTTGTGGTTTGTGTTGATGTTGCTTTGTTTATGCTGTATTAGGCTGGCAATGATGATAACGATGACTCTTCGGAGGATGGAAGTGATGATGAAGGTGATATGATGCCTGGAAGTAGATCAAATATGGCAGTGGATTCGCCAGTTCCTCAGCCTAGGGCGAGTTCGGAGAACAGGCCTAATGAAAGTCAGATGGAGGACGATGGGTGGACGGTTGTTTCTTCAAATCGAAACAAAGGTAGAAGGAATTAAGTCGAACATCATCATGCAATGCTCATCGAAGACTCGTGAAGTTCGAGACGTGGCAGTCATCCGTTCCAATTATACTGAAGAGGTAGAAGGAAGTAGATTGAGACTTGCTAAGCTGTTGTTTAGTTATCTGTTGCGTTTGTCTTCGGGTTTTTGTGGTTTCTTTCGACCTGGTTATATAGAGAACCATCAGCGTGCAAGTTTTCGTGGAAATTTTGTGTTCTGCTTATCCTTGTCCCAACAATAATATTTGGCAAATGATAATTTGACCACCATGATTCTGAATCCCAATTCATACGACTTGAATCTTTGAAGCTCGAGATCTTGTTTGGTTCTAGCTTTTTCTGAATTTAAATGTTACTATTTTGGTAAGAGAATCAGATCGAGCTCTCAGAAACATAACCCAAATGGTCAACGAGTAAATGGAGTTTATGCAGGCTTGATTGTCGACAAGTATGATATCGTATAGGAAGAAGATTCCATATGCTAGTTCTTTTGATGCCTCAATAGGATGAAGACAAGAGAAGGTAGCAGCTACAGTATTTTTTATATAAACAAGAGCTGTACATTTTGTTTTATTGTACCACAGAGAGATTTATATATTCTATTGCGGTCTTTGCTTGTTTTCGTGATTCAGACTGATAGTACCCGAGTTTCTTTTTGGGTTCCGGAATCGATTCTGAACTCTAGCACAACTGAGATGGTGGTTGAAGATGAAAGCAACGAGATGCAGAAAGTTTTCCACATGAAAGGCGGATTAGGGGAAGAGAGCTATGCCCTTAACTCAAAATCCCAGGTTCAGATTAACTACCAGCTCTCTCCAACAAAACACAAATTGCTTCTCTTGCATTGTATTACTTCTTAATTTCACTGACATGAAATTTGTGGGCTGCTCCTCCACAGAGCGCCTACTTATCCAGAGCGATGCAGGTTCTGGATCAAGCAGTTCTGGACCTCTGCACTGCCGGATTTCCAGCCAACTCGTTTAACATAGCAGACCTCGGATGTTCTTCAGGACCAAACTCTCTGGTCGCGGCTGCGCAGATCACAGGCATCATCCATCAGAAGAGCTCCCAGCTCGGCCGAACGCCTCCGGAATTCTCTGTCTTCCTGAACGATCTTCCGGGAAATGATTTCAACACGGTTTTCAACTCCCTGCCGTCTTTCCAGGAGAAGCTGAAAACAGAGCATGGGCAAGATTTCGGGCCCTGTTATGTTTCAGGCGTTCCGGGCTCTTTCTACGGCAGGCTTTTCCCCTCCAATTCCCTCCATTTCGTTCATTCCGGCCAGTGCCTTCACTGGCTTTCCCAGGTTTGCCCGCCCTTTTCATTTTACTGACAAAGAATGTAACTTTAACCCAGAAAATGGATTTGCTGGGGAAAAATCCACTCTTTTCCAATTAGATTCCAAGAAAATTTCAATCTTTGACAGGTTCCTCCAGAGCTGCGTGACAAACAGGATCCGCTGATAAACAAAGGGAAGGTTTTCATCTCGAGAACGAGTTCACCTGCTGTAATAGACGCTTACAAGTCCCAATTCCAAAAGGACTTCTGCGCATTCCTCCAGGCACGTTCAGAGGAAGTGGTTGCAGGTGGGAGAATGGTGTTGCAGTTCAGGGGAAGACGTCTAGAAGACCCGGCCCCTGATGAAAGTTGCTTGCTCTGGGATTACCTAGGATTGGCCTTCCAGGAATTAGTTTCTGAGGTGCACAACTAAACCTACTTTCCAGATCTCTTTGATATTAAACCAGCTTGGTCTCTTACGTGCTTTTATGTTGTGGGCTACAGGGGCTCATTCCTGAAGGGAAGCTGGACACTTACAACACACCATATTACGAGGCGTATACTGAAGACGTGAGAGATGAGATCGAGAGAGAAGGGTCGTTTGCTGTGGATCGCCTGGAGACCATCGTGATCCCATGGGATGGGTGTAATGGAGGAGGAACGCAGTATGACAGGGCGACCACAGCCAGGAACATGGGGAAGGCAATAAGAGCAGTGAACGAGGCAATGATTCGGAGCCATTTCGGTGGAGGAGATGTGGAGTTTGTGGACCGTTTGTTTCAGAAATTTGGTAGAATCATGGTGGATGACTCGAAGGAAGTTGAGCATGTCAGTATTGTTGTCTCTGTCATCAAGAAGCAATCAACCGTTTGAGCATGTCCGTCAGTACAATCGATGGCTGTGCCTGTGTGTGATCTGCTTAGTAATATCACTAAGCCATGGGTTTAGTGACTAAACCCCACTCCCCTTGTTCACTTGTACTCATTTCAGTTTTTAAGTGTATAATAATTGATTTCTAGTTCTATGAAAAGGATCTATTCAGACTCCATCTTCCCTGAGTTCATTGATTGAAATTTGAATTATCAATCTCCATTTCTGAACAAGTTTATCGTTATGGACTGCAGAATACTGGAGGGAATCGGCAGCTTTGGCAAAAATCACTTCAGTTCTTCATTCTCAACAGTAACGGAGGAAGATGATGAGTGGCCTGTCTTACCGACCTCTCTTCAAATGAGCAGCTGGCATGAGGAACGGAGGAGCATGTCCAGTATTGTTTCTGTGTGAGAAAAGAAGAGAAAACAGAGTGGACGAAGGCCACTCGCAGGAGGTAACGTGGGGGCCACTATTCTCACTCTTGATTTGCTCTTGCTCTTTCGCTTCCCCTATTCCCCCTCTGTTGATCCGCTGGTTTCTTATCCCAAATTTTTTTTCTCATCTTCTCTTGCCCATAAAAAAAAAAGCAGCTTGCTTTCTTGTTCCAGCTCCTCTGCGTTTTTTCTTCCTTGATTTCCCCTTGCTCTCTTACTTGCGTAATTCCTTCTCTCTTTTCCACTATTCTACCTCTTGTTTCCAAGCTCCCCTGCATCTCCTCTGTTTTTTCCCTCCCAAAGAAATGGCTGAAATCATTCTGGGCCCTCTAGTTGAACTAATCCTTGGCAAGTTGGTCACCCTTGCGTCCGATCAGGTCCGGCTCTTCTGGAATCTCAAACCCGAGATCGTGAAACTCCAACGCACCGTCATCGTCATCCAGTGTGTGCTTCTCGATGCAGAGAAGAAGCAGTCCCACAACAACCAAGTCAAACTCTGGCTGGAGAGCATCTCAGACATCATGTACGATGCTGAAGATCTGCTTGATGATTTATCCACGGAGGCTGCGCTCCAGAAGCAAGCAAAGACTCACCGGAGGGCAGCGACTTTCCGTAGGAGGATATGGTCTCCGGTCTCGTCCCGTTCCAAGCAGTTGATGTATAATCGTAAGATGGCTCGTGATATTAAGGCTCTTCGGGAGAAGCTTGATGTTATATCCAGAGAGAAGGAGGCTTTCAAGTTGGAAGTTGGCACCGAGTTAAGAGCTCTTCCTTCCTTCAGGGAGACGGATGCCTGCCCACCCAGCATTATGATTGGGAGGGATAAGGACAAGAAAAATATCGTTGAACTATTGCTGAATTACAACCCAGAAGCCAACATTTCGGTCGTTTCCATTGTTGGGATGGGTGGGTTGGGTAAATCCACCCTTGCTAAGTCCGTATTTGATGACAAAGAAGTTCAAGGTCACTTTGGTATCAAAGCTTGGGTCTATGTTTCACAGAGCTTTGATGTCAAAATGATCATCCGAAGGATGTTGGAATCCATAACTCGTGAGAAAGTGGAGGATCTCAATTTAGATGCTTTACAAGCTCGGCTCCGGGGGGAAATAGAAGGCAAGAAGTTTTTGTTTGTATTGGACGATGCTTGGGAGGAGAAGAGGCACAGTTGGGAGAAATTGGAAAATTATTTGACTGATGGTGCTCTTGGAAGCAAAGTGCTGCTGACTACTCGATCCACAAGAGTGGCGGATTTTGTTGGCGGAGCTCTAAAGTCGAGAACAATTACCAGCATTGACAAACCTTACCTCTTGAAAGGCTTGTCAAAAGAAGAGTCTTGGAACTTACTGGTGGAAAAGGCCTTCCCAAGAAAACTCCCGCAAGAACCACAACTGCAAGAAATTGGTAAAGAAATACTGAGGAAGTGTGGTGGAGTTCCTCTAGCTGTGAGCACCATAGCTGGTGTGCTAGTAGATTCTAACGATCCAAAGATCGAGTGGCCATCTTTTCTACAAAAAAGCGTTTCGAGCATCACAAAAGAAGGAGAAGAAGAAGATCCTACTATATCAGCTCTCAAACTCAGTTTCAATCACCTCCCTTCCCATATGAAGCATTGCTTTGCTTATTGTAAATTGTTTGGCAAGGGTGAGAAGCTCTCTATAAATTTGTTGGTTCAACTTTGGGTTGCACAAGGGTACGTTGATTCGGAAGATAAAGGTTTTGACTCCTTCAAAACATTATGGTGGCGATCATTCTTCCAAGATGTGCAAATGGATGGGCTGGGCAATATGTCAACGTGCACAATGCACGACTTGATGCATGACCTAGCTGGATGGATAGCTGGAGAAAAGATCATTGTAACTTCAAGTTTAACGATTCTAAAAAATATTCCATCAAAGACCCGTCACTTGTTCATAATGGGTGATGGTGATCAGAGAGAAGAAGATCATGTTGGTGATGGTCTGGGAAATGCAAGCCAGGTGAGAACTCTTGTGTGCTGGAAGACTCTTACACGCAACGAAGTTCAACAAGTCATTAACAACTTCATACGCTTGCGCGTACTAAGATTTGTGTGCAGAGATCCAGACTTAGACTGGTCCATTTTGGATGCTTGTACTTCAATTAATTTTGATAAGTTGAAGCATTTAAGATTTCTTGCTTTCAATTGCGAGGGAAGGAAAGGACTTCCAAACTCAATTAGCAACTTAGTTAATCTGCAAGTACTGGAACTCAGTGCCTCCAAGTCACTAGAAGAACTGCCAAAGGACATTGAGAAGCTTGTTAATTTGAAGCATTTGGAGCTCGATGCAGCGTATGCGGGATATGGAACCCATATGCCAAAAGGGATTGGAAAGTTGAAGTTTCTCGCAAGGCTACCAATGTTTATAGTGGGGAAGAGGAGCAGTAGTATTGGAAATGACAAGACAGTTGGGGCTGAGTTGGATGAGCTGAAAGGGTTAAATGCATTGTGTGGAGAATTGACAATTAGAGACCTAGGAGATGCTGAATCTCCAAGAACAGGTGTTTATGTCTTGAATGAAAAGCAACATCTACAGTCACTTGTTTTAGATTGGGGCAGATATTATGACGTTGACGGTGATGTTACTTCCTTGTCAATTCACCATGAAGGAATATGGGAAATGCTGAAGCCACATTTAAATCTGAAGAAGTTGGCGATACAAAGAAGTTATGAAGTGGTGAAGATTCCTAACTGGTTGTCTGGCCTCACCAATTTGGTTGAGTTCTCATTACAAGATTGCGAGCAATGTGAGTACCTCGCCCCACAAATTCAGCAAATGCCAAGTTTGAAGAGGCTTACGATTAGAAATTGCCCGCTGTTGAAGGGCATCGATGATGTTGACCATCATCGTGATTCTTCACCGATAGAGGAAGAGGATTGCGAATGGCCTCGATTTCGTTGTCTTGCCGACTTGCGCATTCACAGTTGCCCAAGGCTAACTCGGTTGCCCACTTTTCCTACCGTTGAAGGGGAATTGAAGTTGGTTGCGGTGAGCTTAGCACCATTAGCTAGGACTATGAAGATGAAGATGAGGGGAGAAGGAGGTGTTGGTTATATGGATGACTTTGATGCAAATATCCATCCTCTTCGTACTTCTTCTTCTTCCTCTTTTTCTTCGGATTCGGTCCATCCACTCTCCAAGCTTACCAAGTTGAGCTTAAAGAAAATCGATGACGATTTCGAATCCCTATCATATCATGATTCGAGTATTTGTCTCGTATCTCTTCAGGAGTTGAGAATTGTGGACTGTTGTACAGGGGTAAAGCTTCCTAGTTCACTGTGTTCCAGTGCGAGCTTGACGGAGATTCACTTAGAAGAATGTGAGATGGTAGAGTACCTGCCACCCCTACATGGACTCCCATCCTTGAAAGAGCTAACTATTTGGGACTGTCCGAATCTGAAGGGATGTTGGTGGAAGAAAAGGAAGGGGAATAATGATAATTACGGAAATGGTGGTGATGATGATTATTACAACTTTGATCCTTCAATGGAAGAGGAAAGGGAAGATGAGGAGTGGCCCCGTTTCCCTTGTCTTTTGGCATTGCATATTAGAGATTGTCCAAACCTGACTCGAATGCCTCTGTTTCCAACGGTTGAAATGTTGAAGCTGGAGAGAACCAGCTCAGAGGCGCTAGTGCGGACAATGAAGATGCAAGTGGTGGGAGCCGCTCATCATGATTCTCAACAACATTCCACTACATCAGCAATTGCCTCTCCTTCTTCTCGGAGGACTGCGCTGGATAGGCCGCTATCTAACTTGGAAGAGTTGGAACTTGGTGGAATGAACGAACTGGAATTTCTACCAGAAGAAGGCCTCTGCAACCTCACTTCTCTCCGTTATTTGGAGATTTATGATTGTCCAAAATTAGCAACTCTGCCTCCAGCAATGCGACACATCAACTCTCTACGCGGATTGTTTATTCGGGATTGTCCTAAGTTGACAATAAGATGCCGAAAGGGTGAAGGCGAAGACTGGCCCAACATTTCCCACATCCCTCTGATAAGACTGGACTGGACTTTTCTCCAAGGTTAATCAAATCATCATGTCCTTATCACTAGCATTTATCTGTTTTCTTTTCCAATTAGCCTACTAGATTATTTCACCGAGTCCTTATCACTGGCCTACCAAAATGATTGCAAGGTTAAAAGTAAGCTATGATCATCAAATTTTAATTTTTAATTGCTAGAACTAGCCTGCTAAGATAATCTAGAACTACGACTAATCCATTGCATTTTTTTTAAATCCTAACTCTTAGATTCTAATCCCTAAGCCACCAACTCAAATTCATCAAAATACTAGTAAATTTTAAATAATTTATGTGTATATTTGTCCATCTTCTGTTTTATTGTATTGCAATAAAAAAATTGTCATAAGTTTGGCTTGAATTAGCTATTCAAAATGCCGATATGTGGTATGCACCCAAAATGGTGCATCTAGTATGATGAATGTATTTTGACAAATTAAAATATTTGATCATTGTTTTTAGGAATTAGAGAATCAGGGTGTAATGTTTACTATTCAAGTTTGCATATCCTAAATGTTAATTAGTTCAAGCTCTAGAATTCGCCCAATATACACTTTTTTTTTTTTGGATTCTTGTTAATTTTTCCCATCCCTACTGTTGCTGTCTAATGTAATCCCGTTGCTGACAAAGTTAAGGGTTTTTTTCACTGTATATGTGTCAGGCGATTTTTGGAACTTCTAGTGTCCAAGTTGAGGAAGTGCGACCTTCAGAGTGTACAACCAGTAAACTCATCGTCGACTTGCATAATATACAGACAGTTAACGGAATTTATCTCTCTTTTCTCAAGAAAGGTGGTTCTGCTGTGCAATCTCTGCTTATAAGTGTGGTATTGGTTAACTTTTTCTAACGGATGTTCAGGTTGCAGACCAGTGGTATTACCACTAGATCAAGCACTTGTTCACGATCAATGTTAATGTTGTATGATCTTAAGCGCACGCCCTCCTGTGTTTGATATGAAACCAGCTTGGTGGTCTCTTAAATGCTTTTATGCTGTGTGCTAACAGGGGCTCATTCCTGAAGGGAAGCTGGACGCTTCCAACACGCCGTATTATGAGCCGTTCACTGAAGACGTGAGAGCCGAGATCGAGAGAGAAGGCTCGTTTGCTGTGGATCGCCTGGAGAGTGGAGACCATCGTGATCCCATGGGATGGCTGTAATGGAGGAGGAATGCAGTATGACAGGGCGACCATGGCGAGGAACATGGGGAAAGCGATTAGAGCAGTGAACGAGGCGATGATTCGGAGCCATTTCGGTGGAAGAGATGTGGAGTTTGTGGATCGTTTGGTAGGATCATGGTGGATGACTCTGAAGGAAGTTGAGCATGTCAGTCTCTGTTGAATGGGCAAGAAGATGATAAAAGAGAGATGTTGAGTAGCCGTGAGATTCTCAACTTCTTAGTAAGGAAGAAGGACGCGAGGAAGATACTGAAGCGCAAGGACAGTGACGCTGGGGAACGAGGTATGGTATCTCTACTCCATCCAAGTTTTCCTTTTTGGTTAAGCTTAATGGACGGCTATTGGGTTGCTGGTTTGAATGCTAAGAGTGATTATGTATGTTGAGAGCTGATGAAATTATGGCAATTGGCAAGTAGATCCCTTTAAGTGATCTGGCCAAGGTGGTGAAGCTGCCTGATTATGGGCTTGATGAGAACACCTCTATCTAGATGACTAAGAACCCATAGTTGAAATTGAAAGTACCCCAAGCCTGAAAATTTTGCCGGCAGGTAGCTAAGATGTTGCTAGCTTCTACCCCCGGTCTTAGTTCTCGAATTCGGCCTAAAGCTGGAGTCTTTGACAGAACATTTTTGGTTTTCGCTAGCTGCTAATACCGAATAGCGGTCTGGCTATGTAAACTTGTGAACAAAGAGACTGTTATTTCTTTCATAATGTGAGTAACACACTAACTAAGAAGGCCCTCTCTCATGGCTGTCATGCCTGCTGGTCAGGAAGGGCTCTGGAAGAACTGAGGTCCTCTTTGTTTAACAAGCTTCGGTCACCTGAGTGTGCGAAACGACAAGAGCAACGCTACTGTGGTCCTATCGTTGCCCTTACGTGCAACTTCGTCATGTTAATGTTATGATCTTATGAGAGTGTTCTTATGTTATATCCACTAGTTCGAAGAAGTGGTTGCAGGTGGGAGAATAGTGTTGCAATTCAGGGTGGAGACGTTTAGAAGACCCGGCGCCGGACGTGAGTTGCTTGCTCTGGGATTACTTAGGATTGGCCTTCTAGGAATAAGTTTCTGAGGTGCACAACTAAACCTACTTTCCAGATCTCTTTGATATTAAACCAGCTTGGTTTCTTACTAACTTTTATGCTGTGGGCTACAGGGGCTCATTCCTGGTGGGAAGCTGGACACTTACAATCCGCCGTATTACGAGTTGTTTACGGAAGAAGTGAGAGCCGAGATCGGGAGAGAAGGGACGTTTGCTGTGGATCGTGTTTACATAATTATTTTTTATTCAATTAAATGCCGCATTAATGAGTCTCGGCATTTAATTCGAGGACGCATGATAAAAAACGATGTCGTTTGGAGTAGAGCAATGTCGAGGAGAGTCTAAATGACACCGCAAAGAGGCTCGACGGTACCGCTGTTTGATAATAATAATAAAAAAAACAATGTCGCGAGAAACGCACCGTTCAGTCAATGGTGGTATTGCTGTTGGAAAATGAGTGTTTTTTTATTCCTTGTCGGAAGAGGAGAAAAACGACACCGTTCAGTGGTATGCAATGCCACTGGTAAACAAAATCACAACGACGACAGTGTTTAAAATAAGAACAATGTCGCGAAAAGAAAAGCAAATGAAGCCGTTTTGGGGAAGAAAACGATATCGCTAGTAAGCTCAACAATGCCGCAATAGTTAGGACTACAGTGTTTAATATTAAAAAGATGTTGCGGGTAGAATCAAGCGGTGTTGTTTAGCTAAAAACGACACCGCTCAACAAAGCAATCAAAATCGGGATTTTGATCGTAAAATCGTAGAATTTTAGGATTTTACTTTGGGATTCCGATCCTGATTTTACTATAAAATCGGTGGACCTTAAAATCGTTTAAATCCTGGAATAAAATCGTTAAAATCGTAAAATCCTACTAAAATCGGGATTAAAATCGTATGAGAACAAAATAGGATGTTTGAACAAATTTTAAAAAAGCGGAACTGATTTGGCAGAAAGGGCAATGATGGGGATCTTCTCAAATATTTTTCCTATTAAAAAACATTTGAAAAGAAAAAAGGCCTAATACCAGAAAAAAGCCCGTAGTTTAGGGTTTACGTCACTTGTACCCTTATGTTTATATCGCGTCACTTATGTCCCCAAGTTTAGTCTCCGTTTGCTTTGACTGTTAGTGGTCAAACCGTCAACTATTGACCGATGATGTGTCACATGACATGGACTAATTTTACCACATCACTTATATAAAATAAAATAACATATTTTTACAAAGAAATAAAAAAAAACCCAAAAAAATCACATCACACGGAATTCAACTCTCCCTTCTCTGGCTAAATTGCAAGTTTGGTCACTCGAATTGCTATAAAATTTCACGTTTGGTCACTCGAATTTGTTTATTCCATTCGTAGTCACTTAAATTAGTTAAACAGTCTAAGTTCGGTCACTCTCCGTTAATCTCCATCAGACTCCGTTAGTGCCGTCAGTTAACTGCTGACATGACTAACAGAGATGCCTAATCACCCAATTTTAACCCAAGAAAAAATAAAAATTGACCCGCCACGTCAGAAAAACATGCCATCTCATATAAACACAACCCAACCCACCCAACCTAAAAAAAACCATTAACCCATCCAGAAATCAAACCCGTGACCCATCCACCCTTCTTCTTCTTCCTTTATACACTGCTTCCCTCGCTGCCGGGGGATTTCCCCTCGATCTCCCTGCTGCAGCCCCCGTCGCCGAATCCAGATTCGCGACCGATTCCTTGTCAGGGTGTTGAGGTCGAGCCCGACGTGGTTGTCGTCGATGTCCTGAAACTCGGGGCTACGCATCGCGTTGAGCTCGACGGCGACGACGCGGTTGGATTCGCTGCCCATGTTGGTGGAATTGAAGAGACCCAGGTGCTGGCTGGCGACGGCGTGAGTGAAATCGATGGTGGGGGAGATGACGAAGGCGATGCCGTGACCGCCCGTCGATGGCGATTCTAGGACCATGGCGAAGAACCAGCTTTTTTGTTCCTCCCTCTCACTTTCTTCTTCCTCGCTTTCTATTTCTTTCAATTTTCCTTCTCCTTACTCTTCACCTTCCTCAACATGATAATAATGGCGAAACAAACTCTTGGAGTCCTGCTTCTTCCACTCTTGGAACCCGCCCATCATCGTCGCGCCGCCGCTGATGCCTTTCGCCTTCACGAGGCAAACCAAGGTGTGCGCCAGGGTCGGGACGAAGCTCGATAGGTAATTAGGGTTGGGGAATTTGGGGATCAGAGACTCCTTCAGCTTCTTGATTCTCTCTTTCGAGAAATCGAAGGTCGCTCGCAGTCTCTTGGAATCGCCATCTACCAAGCTCCATAGCAGCTCCAAGCTTCTAGGGTTTGGATTGGGATCCATCCCCGACAGATTGAGCCGGAATCGGAACCAATCGTCCAAATACTACACCGGAATTTCCCGCGAGTCGACGATGCCTCTTCGATCGAAGACCGGAGCCAGCGATTTTGGTAGCGGCGGTGGGAAATCGACGCCTCCGTCTCCGACGATCTGCCTGCAAGTGTGAGCCCAGGCTTTCATGAAGACGGACTGCCTCTTGCCATCGAGAATGCCGAGCTAAGGGTTTGGGTTTAGGGTCAATTAATTGGGTTGGTTCACGGGTTGGGCAAGAATGGCTGACAGGGCGGGTAAGGCTGAGCTGGCGGGTCGGGTCGTCGTTTTTTAATGTTTAAATGTGTTGACTGTGTCATTCTGTTAGCCACGTCATCACTTAACGGTCGTCATTAACGGAGTTTAACGGAGGTTAACGGAGAGTGACCGAACTTGGACTGTTCAACTAATTCGAGTGACTATAAATGGAATAAATCAATTTGAGTGGCAAACGTGAAATTTTTAAGCAATTCGGGTGACCAAACTTGCAATTAAGCCCCCTTCTCTCTTTGTCTCCTCGCATCCTAGTCGCCTCCGGCCATTTTCACCCCACCGCCTCTAGCTTTTGGAGAGTTGCAGGGGATGAGCGGATTGCCCACTTCTCTAGCTCGCTTCTTTTGGAGAGTTGTCATCGCCGCTAGCCGCCTCCACCTGCTTCTTCGTTTCATCGTCGGATAAGAAAGATCAACGAGCAATGGATCTGAAATCGTCCAGCTCTGCATCCCTAGCCGCTGTCAAGTACCAGAAGAAAAAGTCGACGAAGCAGCCGGAGACAAAGGTGCCGCTCCAGTCAACTTCGGCGACTCGTTGAAGTTGAGCATGAGATCTGGGCATGTCGAAGAAGCAACCGCTATCTCTATCGCGTCCTTACTCTGTTGAAATCCCATCTCGAGAAACTGAAGAGCCAAATCACTGGGAGAGCGAAATAAATTGAAGACGATGGAGAAGAAGAAAAGAGATTGGTAGAGATGATTTGGTGTCATCGTCGAGGTTGCATCGGGACGGGGAAAGGAGTGGGTGGACGACGGTGTGGGTTGCGATTTGGGTCGTCGGGATGGTGAAAGAGGATTGGGGATCGTCGGCATCGTTGGAAGATATTGATCGGCGATTTGGGAGGGAGCGAGTGAGCAGTTGGGATTGATCGACGAGAGGGTGACGATGGCGCTGGATGGTTTGTGAATGACAGAAAGAGTAGGAAGATGAGGGGATTTTTTTTATTAATTGAAAATAATTAAACTATCAGGCTATGAAAATAAATACATTATCATAATTTTAAATTATAATTTTTGATGATGTCGCAGTTTCTAGGTGACATGTTGGCGCCACATCATAGTTAGTCAAACTGACTTTGACAGTTATTTGGTCAACCGTTAAGTTTAACGGTCAACAAAATGACAGAGGACATTTTTTACATGGAGACTCTAAACATTGGGACATAACTGACGCAAGATAAACATAGGGGTACAGATGACAGAAAGTCTAAACTATAGGCCCTTTTCTGGTATTAGGCCAAGAAAAAAATAACCAAATTATGGCTCAGTCATTCTCTTTCCCTTCATCCCGCTGAACTCATCGGCAAAATAGTTTTCCTAATATTGTACATGCGGAAGAATTAATATCAATATTAACTCATTAATTGATTAGTGAATACATTTTTGTCAAGCCACTAGCATTAATTATTCAATTGGAGTTCATATATTATTAGTTTTAAATCATGATTAATGGATAGTGTTGAAATTAACCTGACCGAAGTACTATTTTGAGTTGAACTACCTAAACACAACATGAAAAAAACAAGAGACAAGCTCCATGAGCTCTATCATTTCCTCGTGAATTATTTTTGTTACGCATTAAATAATAATTAAAATGATGATATTGGAACATTAATGTTGAGATGAATAATTGTACGATTTTACGATTAATCTTGAGATGAATATTGGAACATTAGTATGATTATATGTTAGTTTCTATATGGAACTTAAAATCCTACGATTTTACGATTCCGATTTTACCCCAGTTTTCGATTTTAGGTAAAATCCCGATTTTGACTGCTTTGCCGCTCAAGACATCAACAACGCCGCGATATTACTAAGCGATGTCGTTTAGTTAGAAACCATACCACAGCGAGTTGGATTTTGGCGAGGGCGGCCCGGCAAGCCCAACGGCATCGCAAGATGAGAAAAACGGTACCGTTTGATAGAGAACAATGTCGCGGAATGAAAAACGACATTGTTTGATGGGACCGGGACGGAGCAGTTCAAGGTCGGCATCAATTAGTGAAAAGCGCTGCCGCGGAAAGATTAAACGGTGCAGAGGGATGAGAATTTGACCGCGTGACAATAATGAGCTGGTTTAATTAATTAGTATTTTTAATAATTATTTGAGAAGGTGTTGTTTAGATAAAAACGACTCCCGGGAGGTATCAACGACATCGCGGTATCATAAACGATATCGTTTTATTAAAAACGATATTGTAGTGGTTAAGAGCTCCGCCAAGGGTGGCCCGCTAAGTCCAACGCGATATCGTAGTGGTTAAGAGCTCGGCCAAGGGTGGGCCGCTAAGTCCAACGCAACATCGTCATTGTAGCTTTGTTCCACGTGAGATTCACGCAGAATCGAAATCGAGGCGGTTGAGACACGTGGGAGTTCACGACGGAGCAGTTGAGGAAGCGGTTTCATGGAGCGTGAAGACTACGAAGATGTTTTTCGAATAAAAGCAGTGGAGCAAGGAGAGAGAAAAGAGAATCAAATATTATGCATGTTCGTCGACATGCATAATATACAGACAGGTAACGGAATTTATATCTCTTTGTCAGATAAAGGTGGTTCTGCTTGATAAGAGAGAGTAATACGTGGAACAGAATAGATTCTCCACTATGTTACCGTTTGAGTGTTTCCTTCTTTGTAGCAACCTCTGCGTAGGTTTTGCTATTTCGGTTACTGCTGTATTTGTATAAAATCCATTGTTCAGTAATGTAAAAACTCAGCTTTCCATATTCACTTACATGGTATCAGAGCTCAGTAGACTCCAACGAGTGTTGTGCTGATTTTTTTTTCCTGATTCCCTTCTCCCCACCAATGTAGTCAAAAGCGAGTTTCTACGTAGAAACGTTTAGGTGATCTAAAAGCGTAAAATCGTATGTTTTTAAGTTTTAAAGCGGAGTTTTTAACTACATAAGTTATAAAAACTGAGATTTTATGTAGAAGCGTTTTAGTGACTTAGAAATGTAAAATCGTAAGTTTTTAAGTTTTAAAACGCGATTTTGACTACATTGCTCCCCACTTTTCTGTTCTTATTCTTCCCCTGCCACCGCATCATGTCAACTATTTCTGCTTCTTCCTCTTCTCTAGCTGCCTCCTCTTCTTCTTCTTCTTTCCCCATCTCCTTGTCGTCCAACCCCCAATTGACGGTGAAGCTGTCCCCGACGAATTATTTCCTCTGGAGGGCACAGCTTCAACCGCTTCTTCGTTGTTATCGTCTCGACGGTCACATCGACGGCACGCTTCCTGCGCCGCCCCAAACAATGGATGATCAGCCGAATCCTGCCTTTCAAGACTGGTATGAGCGTGATCAATTGATTCTGATCTAGATCAATCTCTCTTTGACGGAAGCTGTTATGCCTCATATCGTCAATAAGCATACTGCGAAGGAGGCCTGGGACACGCTGGCCGCTGTCTATGCTGCTGGTTCTCCAGTCATTGTCGGCCAACTCCGTCGTGATCTTCACCACCTTCGCCGGGGGACGGACTCGGCTCATGACTATCTTCTCCGCGCCAAAACCATTTTCGACAAGATGGTGGCGCTTGGTGATCCGATTAAGGAGGCAGAGCTGGTGACTTCAGTGATTGATGGTTTGGATGAGGACTATCGTCCATTTACTCGGAATCTCGAAGCCCGTCTTGAGCCGATCTCCTTTGCTGATCTCAGTAGCCTCTTGCTCAACGAGGAGTTGCAGCTCCGCCGCTTTCAGTCGGCTTCTGGTGGTGGCGCGTCTCCCCAGGCGTTCTATGGTGGGCGTGGCCGTGGAACTGGTGGTTTTAATCGCCACCGTGGGGGGCGCTCTCGTGGCCGAGGGTTTCCAGCGATGGGCCGTGGTAATTTTAACCCTTCTTATTTTGCAGGTCCCAGGCCCATGAATGCAGGTCCGAGGCCCGCTGCAGCTGGAGTGTTAGGGGCTGGGCCTCTTGGCCCATCTCCACTTGTGTGTCATAATTGTGGGGGAAGGGGCCATACCAGGCCTCATTGTCCAAGCCCATTATACCAGCCCCAACCCAGTTACCCCTTTGGCCCGTCTGCTCACTTAGCCCAATCCCCTCAACCTGCTTTTCAATCCCAACAATGGCTTCTCGACTCCGGGGCTAACCACCATTTGACCTCTGATCTCGATAATCTGGTTCATCACTCTGAGTACACTGGCACCGATCAAGTTACCTTTGGCAATGGTAAACAACTTCCCATTTCTCATTCTGGCTCTTCTCACGCCATTCTTTCCTATACTTCTTATTCCCTCAATAATATTCTTCGTGTTCAAAATGCTCCTCATAATCTTCTTTCTGTTAGCTCGTTGACTCGCACTAATCCCATTTCGATTGAATTCTTTGATTCCTATTTTGTCATTAAGGACCGCCACACGAAGGCTGAACTTTATCGGGGATCCGCGGCTGATGGTCTCTATTCTCTGCCTCTGCATATTCAAAGTCGCGCCGCTCCTCGAGCTTTCACTGCCTCACTTGATTTGTGGCATCAACGCTTGGGTCATGCGAATCTTCGCGCTGTTAAGCATCTTTTGTCTTCCAATTCAATAAATTATCATGATACTTCTGCTTCTCTTTGTTATGGATGTTGTATTAGCAAAATTCACAAACTTCCTTTTCCTTCCTCTCAATTTCGTGCCTCTGCGCCCTTGGAACTGATTTGTAGTGATCTTTGGGGTCCTGCACCTCTTCTTTCTTTTGATCATCAATCCTATTATATATTATTCTATGATCATTATAGTAAATTCAGCTGGGTGTATTTTGTGCGCTATAAGTCTCAACTTCTCAATGTGTTTATCCAATTTCGGCAAATGGTTGAAAAAAATTTCGGTCTTCCTATTAAAATTTTCCAGTCTGATTGGGGCGGTGAATATCAAGCATTGCCTTCTTATCTTTCCAATAATGGTATTGTTCACCGTTCCTCTTGCCCATATACCCCCAAACAGAATGGTTGTGCCGAACGGAAGCATCGTCATATTGTTAATAATGGGCTTGCTATGTTACATCAGGCCTATGTTCCGCTCAAATATTGGTCTCTTGCTTTCGATACGGCCTGTTATCTCATTAATCGTACTCCTACTCCTCTTCTTCAAAATTCCTCCCCTTTCACTACCTTGTTTCATACTTCTCCTGATCTTCTCAATCTTCGTGTCCTTGGTTGTTTGTGTTATCCTTGGCTTTGTCCTCTCACCTCTAATAAACTTGAGCCTCGTTCTACTCCTTGTGTCTTCTTGGGTTATAGTCATTTACATAAAAGTTATCGGTGTCTTGATCGTAAAACTGGTCGTATATATGTCAGTCGCCATGTACTCTTTGATGAATCTGTTTTTCCATTTCGAGATAACCCACCCAATGCCCCCGACACTATTTCACCTACTGCTTTTCTCCCGGAGCCCATTTCTCTTCCCCTTCCTCCATCTTTCCTCGGCCCATCCTCTTCTCCTACTATTCCTTTTCCATCTCCTGCCCAGCCCACTTCTATTCCTCAACCCAGCCCGCTGCCTTCCTCTCCACTATCCCCCATCCGCCCCACTGAGCCCACTTCCCTCCTTCACCCGACCCAGCCCACTGAGACAACTAATAATCCTACACTAAATCTGCCCACCCAGCCCACTCAACTCCTAGCACCTGCTCCTTCCACCGAGCCCATTGCCCCTATCCCACCCCCACCTACCTCTTCTCGGCCTCTTCTCCAGTACCATCGCCGACCCCTCCCTCTGCCGCCTCCCCACCGCCTCTTCTTCAATATCACCGCCGCACTAATCCTCCCCAACCCCCTGTCTCCTCCCCATCCCCCACCCCTTCCCAATCACGATCCAACCTCCCCACACCCTCGACTCCTTCCTCTCGGCCTCCCTTCAACACTTCTCCCCGAATTGTCCCTGCTCCTACCCCGATGCCTCCTCCCCGCCGAATGACCACTCGCACTCAGACGGGAAAATTGAAACTCCGTCAATTCCTTGCCGCCGCTCCTACTGGCATACCCACCGTTGCTGTCCAGGCCCTTAAATCCCCTCTTTGGCGTGCCGCGATGACCACGGAGTTTGATGCGCTCCTTCGCAATCATACCTGGGATTTAGTTCCCCCCCCCCACCAGATTGCAATATTCTTACAAATCGTTGGGTTTTTGTGGAGAAAACCAACCCTGATGGTTCACTTGAGCGCCAGAAGGCCCGACTCGTTGCTCGCGGTTTTCAGCAGATTCCGGGTCACGACTTTGGCCAAACATTCAGCCCGGTGTTGAAACCGGCCACACTTCGTCTTCTGCTCGGGATTGCAGTCTCCAACTCCTGGCCGCTTCACCAAATTGATATTTCGAACGCGTTCTTACATGGGACCTTGCAGGAGGAGGTATATATGCAGCAACCTATTGGTTTTGTTGACCCGGAACGCCCTGATCACGTCTGCCGTCTCAGAAAGTCTATCTACGGCTTGCGGCAAGCTCCTCGGGCATGGTTTACCTGCTTATCTCAGACAATTCGTGAGTTTGGTTTTGTTGCCTCCAAGACTGACCCTTCCCTGTTTATCTATCGCACTCCCACTACTGCTCTGTATATGCTTGTGTATGTGGATGACATTGTCATCACAGGGAATAATTCTGAGGTTCTTCAACAGCTCTTGCTACACCTTCGGTCTAAGTTCGCACTCCGTGATCTTGGGCAGATGTCTTATTTTCTCGGATTGGAGGTACACTATACTTCTGATGGTCTTATTCTCAACCAACGGAAATACATTCTGGAACTACTGGAAAGGTCAGGGATGTCTCAGTCGAAGTCTATTTCTACACCCTGCACGGCTGACCAGCTGATACAAAGTGCCTCTGATGTCTCTCCTGCCTTTCATGATCCCAGTTTCTACCAGAGCATTGTGGGTGGTCTTCAGTACTTGAGTTTCACCCGTCCCGACATTTCCTTTGCTGTCAACCATGTGTCCCAATTCCAGCAATGTCCCACTGATGCTCATTGGACAGCCGTCAAGCGTATTCTCCGATATCTACAGGGCACGCTCACTCAGGGTCTTCTTTTCCAACGATCCACTCAGCCACAACTTCATGGTTATTCCGATGCATCTTTTGCCTCCTGTCCCAGCGATCGTAAGTCCATCTCTGGTTATGCAGTCTTCTACGGCAAGAATTTGGTTTCCTGGTCTACACGGAAGCAACAGGCTGTTGCTCGATCCTCCACCGAATGTGAATATCGGGCACTCGCCACGGTTGCATCCGAAGTCATTTGGCTTCAAGCCCTCCTCACTGAGCTCGGACAGTCCACTTCAGCTCCAGTTCTTTGGTGTGATAATCTGGGAGCGACTTATCTTGCTCATAATCCGGTTTTTCATACTCGCTCGAAGCATCTCGAAATCGAGTTTCACTTCGTCCGTTACAGAGTCAACAAGCAGCAAGTACATGTGCGCTATCTTCCAGCCACCGATCAGCTCGCAGACGTCCTCACGAAACCTCTGTCTCGCCTTCCTTTTCGGAATTTCTGCTCCAAGTTTCACCTCGTCGAGGTTCCACTTGCGGGGGCGTGATAGGAGAGAGTAATACGTGGAACAGAATAGATTCTCCACTATGTTACTGTTTGAGTGTTTCCTTCTTTGTAGCAACCTCTGCGTAGGTTTTGCTATTTCGGTTACTGCTGTATTTGTATAAAATCCATTGTTCAGTAATGTAAAAACTCAGCTTTCCAGATTCACTTACACTGCTGTGCAATCTTTGCTTGTAAGTGTGGTATTGGACTATTGGTTAACTTTTTCGAACGGATGTTCAGGTTGCAGACCAGCGGTATAACCACTAGATCAAGCATTTGTTCACGATCAATGTTAATGTTATATGATCTTAAGCGCACGCCCTCCTGTGTTTGATATGAAACCAGCTTGGTGGTCTCTTAATTGCTTTTATGCTTTGTGCTAACAGGGGCTCATTCCTGAAGGGAAGCTGGACGCTTCCAACACGCCGTATTATGAGCCGTTCACTGAAGACGTGAGAGCCGAGATCGAGAGAGAAGGCTTGTTTGCTGTGGATCGCCTGGAGACCATCGTGATCCCATGGGATGGATGTAATGGAGGAGGAACGCAGCATGACAGGGCGACCACGGCGAGGAACATGGGGAAAGCGATTAGAGCCGTGGACGAGGCGATGATTCGGAGCCATTTCGGTGGAGGAGATGCGGAGTGGAGTTTATGGACCGTTTGTTTCAGAAGTTCGGTAGGATCATGGTGGATGACTCGAAGGAAGTTGAGCATGTCAGTATGAATCTTTGCTTCAACAATATCTTCTGTTGTTTAACTAAGCCATAGACTTTCGCATGTGATGGTATCAGGCTGCCAATGATGATAATGGTATCAGGATTAAACATCAACATTAGGCCTGTGAAGTGCAGATAGAAGAATGACCTGAAACTGTTGCTGAAGCACGCGATCAAGAATTAAGAATGACCTGAAACTGTTGCTGAAGCAGATGAAGAATTAAGATGACCTATTAACTCTGCATTAGTCTCATCCATTTCAACACAACAGTAAGCAAAGAGAATCATACCAGTAATTGTTCCAACATCATTGACAACCACCAACAAATAACCCAAATTTAATAATAAGAACATCTATATGTCAAATCTTCAACAGAATTAAGCAGAGCGCAGAAAACAGAAACTATCTGCATCCAGCAAATTTACAAAAAAGAACATGTACATGGCAAGACTTCAACTGAAGTTGCAGAAAAAACATGTACATACATCACAAACAACAAACAGAACGATAATAACCACAAAGAAAGGAAGATTAGAAAGCAAAACATAAATTCAATCGCTCTTCTCCCAATCAAAGCGAACAGGAACAAATTGAAAATTTCAGAACAGCAAAGAAGAACGTATTGAAGAACAAAATAGAAATATTGAACTGGTTTTCAGAAGCAACTCAGATTTGGTTGGTTTCAGTCCCAAGTGGCAATTTCGTCAACTTCTTGCCCCCTCTCACTTTATCTCTTGTTAGCATTGCCCATCTGGGAATCCACACAACACATTCAAAAATATAAAAAGAGAGATACTGAGTTTATCAGTACAGCTAACTAAACCATACTCCCACGCTTTCCATGTCTGCTGCTGCTGCTCCTGTTCCTGCTCTATGGTTAGTATGTGCCTGCAACAGTAAAATCAAGAGAAGTGAGGAGCAAGTTCATTTTTTGGGGGTTGCGGTAGGAGTAAGGTCAACCGGTGAATACAAAAGTGAAAAATACATTGGCTGTTCCACCAACTGTCACCCATCCTGCTGATCCATAATCACCACCACCGTCAGTTTATGTTGTTCCTCCCCGTGGATAGGGCTCGAGCACGAACTCGACGAAACCATGTTATCGGAATCTTCATTGCTACCGTCTACCGCTGTGCTCTGCAGAGAGTCGAAAAACAGAGAAGGTGAAATTTAAAATATAGCCGAAGAAGATGATAAATAAGAGCTCACCATCACAGGCGATTCTGTCCACCGCCGTTGGTCCTCCTGTTCCAAATCGATTTCGTCTTCCTCCGCTTTCGGGTTTGGGTTCCACGACGACTAGCAGCGAGAAAACTTTTAGGGTTTTCGCTGCAAGATAGAAGAAGGGGATTATGGAGTGAGAAAGAGGGTGAACCATTTGCCTCCCACGAAGTACAATCGTAGCCAACTAGCGTGAGCGAGTCTGTGAGCAGGGTTAAGGGAGTGGGAAAACTGGGGATAGCAGAATGGAACGGCGAAGAGACAGACATGACCGAGCACTGACCGGTAGGGCTGGGCATGCGGGCGGATCATCCGCGGATTTGGACCGACCCACCCGCATTTGACCCGAATTTCGTTAAGTGGATGGGTCAGTGGGTGGGTGACGGGTTGTGCTGGGAGCCATCCGCCGGGTGGTGGATGGGTTGTGGGTGAGTGTGCGGGTGACCCGCTCAATCCAACAGTAAAAAGATCAAAGTTGTTGGCGCTAGAGAGAGGAGAGTGTAGACTTTAGATATAAACTCGGACTGCTCCTCGAGTTTGAACCTCAAAGCCAACCTTCCAAATAGATATCCCCTCTTATTCCCTTTACTTTTTCCTCTAATTCTTGTGCCTAGATCACCGCTTTTTCCTTTGTGGAATTATTTTCCTTAGTTTCTTGCACCAAATAATCGTCTCAATCTGTAGAAAACTCTTTCATAATAGAATTTCTATCCAATTTAAGAACTAATTCAACATTTTTTGCCCTATTTCAACTTCTTGTTTCCCTCGATGATTCTCTTCACCTATTATCATGTCAAGTTGACTCCTTTATATTATATACATTGTGATGTGGGTGAACCCACAAACCCACCCGCATCATCCACCATCCGCCCGACCCAACCCGAGACTAAATGTGGGTGGGTGGTGGGTTAAAAATTATCAATCCGTGTAAGCGCGGGTGGGTGCATTTTATGGTCAAAATCCACTCGACCCACCCAATGCCCACCCCTACTGACCGGTGCTTGCTTGATTTCGGTGGAAATTGATAGTAGGAACGTCTACAGTAGCGCTGATTGTGGAGTATGGGCGGTGACCTGCTTTTGCTGGACCGAGGGGAAGGCCGAGGGGAAGGCCGAGATATAGGAGTACGGCTACTCTAAGTAGGGAGGAAAGTGCTTTCGAGGAGCTTCTCCACTGCTTGGGCGCTAGACGCCAAGAATTGAAACAATGTTTAGAGTCTTTGGGGCGAAAAAACGTACACCCCTTTCATGTTTTACAAGAATTGTTATTGATCTCATGTCAGTGTTCTACTTAGCATGTAGCTAACCAAACTCTTTTAGATTTGTAAGCTTATCGCCTTAGAAACCTCTGTTATCGCTGCTTCTTTGATCTAAAGCAGACCGTAACTATGTATGTTCTTAATTTAGTTCCCGAAGACAGACAGTAGGGAGCACAACCAGACATTTCTCAGATACAAGATATGTACAAGGAGCCAAACGTGACCTTTACTTCAACCATGTTCTTGTGTGCTTTCTTTTGCAGAATCTAACATCTTGATGAAGAGGAGAGCCCTCCCATTATTGGCAGAGTGTCCACAAACTCCCCAAAGAGGCATCGAACTGTCTTTGATTCCAGTCCATGGATTCACATCATACTCAGAAATCCAAGAACACATTTTGTAGCGAGAACTAGGTTTTACGGTCGGTAAGCTACCAACCTGAATAACGACGTTTGATGAGGTTTGGTGTTCGAAACCGGTAATATACCCGAAAATGTTTTTCAGGACATCTGCTTTTGTCTATTTTTTTAACGATTTTCCAAACCCTATTAGTTATTACCAACACTTCCATTTCGCGTCGTCTTCTCGGTGCCTGCAGCTTGGTCTCGTTGCTGCCGGTGCCGTCCTTCTTCTGCTCGCCCTACCTTCGCCATCATCACTTCCTCGAGCTGCTGCAGCTTCAGGAACCGCCAGAATAAGATACGAAAACCAGCAACTTCACACAAAAATAGCAGTCTTTCCATTCTTCAAGTAATTTCCACTTTCAAGTTACGGCGATTACAATAGAGCTTAGGGCGATAATTTGCAATCGCCAAGAATGTATTTCCGCGCGTAGCCCTCTTGATTGCATCGCAGTGTCAATCTTTCTCCCTCATCAACAGCAGCTATATCTGTGTTCATCAGCCCTCCTCCCAGGTTTGGTTGCCGAATGGGTCTTTGTTTAGTGGGGACAAAAGAGAGACGTTGAGTAGCCGTGAGATTCTCAATTTCTTAGTAAGGAAGAAGGACGCGAGGAAGATATTGAAGCGCAAGGACAGTGACGCTGGGGAACGAGGTATGGTATCCCTACTCCATCCAAGTTTTCCTTTTTGGTTTCCGATTAACGAACGGCTATTAGGTCGCTGGTTTGAATGCGAAGAGTGATTGTGCATGTTGATTCTTAGAGCTGATGTAATACGAAGAGTGATTCTTGATCCCATGGGATGGGTGTAATGGAGGAGAAACGAAGTGTGACAGGGCGACCACAGCCAGGAACATGCGGAAGGCAATCAGAGCGGTGAACGAGGCAATGATTCGGAGCCATTTCAGTGGAGGAGATGTGGAGTTTGTGGATCACTTGTTTCAGAAGTTCGGTAGGATAATTATTGGATCGAGACTCTTCCCATGAGAAGTCCAAGTCGACTCCTGTAGCCCATGCGTGCCTGGTTGCATGGAAGCCCACAACGCATGCCTTGGAGTCCAAGGAAGCTACGGAAATCATCTATCCTAATTGTAATTGGACAGCAGCTAATGTAACCCTAGTAGAGGCAGATGATATGGGTTATAAATATGTAAGTTTGGCCAATGGCCGAACTAAGCAAAAACTAATAAAATCATAGTCTCTTCCGTGGATGTAAGCCTCACACACTGTGAGGAAGAACCACGTTAAAATCGTCTTGTCGTTCGTTTATTGTCGATTTTACATGGTATCAGAGCCTTAGGCTCCAGTCCCTAGTCCGCCGTCAATCATGGGTTCCGGTTCTGATGATTTCAAAGGAACTATGTCTGGCGGTGTCAAGGCCGAAGATCATCTTCCGCCTGCGTATCAGCTGTCCAATTCCGATGGTCCGGGAAATATGCTTGTTGGTGATGTTCTTACAGCCACCAACTATGGCGAATGGGTTCTCGATATGAAGGATGCCCTCATCGCCAAAAATAAATATGGGTTCGTCGATGGCTCTCTTCCGAAACCCGAGTCGGCGGAGGAACGAAGTGTTTGGCTTCGTTGCGACGCCATGGTCAAAGGTTGGCTGAAGACCTCCATGGATAAGGAGATTCGTAGCAGCATTCGCTTCGCTGAACATGCTGCTGGCATCTGGTCGGATCTCCGAGAACGATTTGGTACTGGAAGCTCTTCACGAGCTTATGAATTGCGGCGCTTGATTGTTTTATCACAGCAAAACAAAAGCCCGGTCTCTTCCTTTTTTACTCGTCTGCGTGCGCTATGGGAGGAGAATTCCTCCATCACCCCATTGCCGATTTGCACATGCGCTGGGTGTGTCTGTGGAATTTCCAAGAGGATCCGTGAAGATCAGGAACGGGCAAGGCTTTTTGAATTCCTAATGGGCCTTGATGATTCCTTTGGAGCAATTCGCTCCCAAATATTGGCCATGCGGCCAACTCCTACACTTGTTGAGGCTTTTCACATGGTTCTCAATGAGGAACAACAAAAACAAATCGCACAGCAACGCCAAGTAGCGCCAGAAGCTGCTGTGTTCGTGGCGGCCGGCACACCTGACAAGGGCAGTAGCGGACCGGGGGAGCAACGAGATCGTGATCGCCCTCGATGCACACATTGCCAGCGTTTGGGACACGTTCGCGAAACGTGTTATGAGCTGATTGGCTATCCCCCGCGGGACAAACAGAGTGACAAGCAGGGAAATCGCCAGCAGCGACGTCGCAATCCCAAATCTAGCGATAATCGCGAACCGCGCGCGTCACAGGTGGAATCCGAGCAGAGCCCTGTTGCTGGTTTTACCATGGCTCAGCTGGAACAGCTGAAACAGTTCTTTGGTGCCTCAGGCAAGACAGTTGATGATCCGGCAGCTCACATGGCAGGTATACTCTCATACGAATCTGAATGGTTATTAGATTCTGGTTGCAATGAACATATTACTATGGATGAATCAATGTTGTCTCGAAAAGAAGTTCCTGTTAATGGGCAGCCTGTTCGCATACCCAATGGAGACAGTATTCCGGTAAAACACATTGTGCTCCGTCGAGCTGCTGCCTGGTTTCACTCTTGGTCGAGTACTTCATGTACCCGAATTCCGGTGTAATCTTATTTCTGTGAGCTGACTGACAAAGGATAACCATGTGGCATTGATTTTTCTTGATAATTTTTGCGTAATCCAGGACTTACGCTCGAAGAAATTGATTGGGAAGGGTGAACTTCGTGATGGGCTATATTATTTGCGCTTGTTTGGACAGGGTCATTCTCAAGCTTGTGCCGTGCAACGCAAAGGAGTAGTGTCTGACGCAGTTTGGCATGCCCGTCTAGGGCACCCTTCGCCGGAGAAAACCATCCATATTAGTCGTTTATTGTCTGTTCATTTGAATTCATATTCTGGTCCTTGTCATTCATGTTTACGAGCTAAACAGACTCGAGAACCTTTTCAGTCAAGTATGATTAAGACTTCGTCACGTTTTGATCTTATTCATGTTGATATTTGGGGTGGTTATAAGGTAGCTTCATTAAGTGGGGCTCATTATTTTCTAACCATTGTTGATGATTTTTCACGAGGTGTTTGGGTGTATCTTATGAGATATAAATCTGAAGTCGAGCGATATCTACTACATTTCTGCAAGATGGTGAGAAATCAGTTTGGATGCTCAGTCAAACGGATCCAGACAGACAATGGTTATGAGTTTCAAACTACGGGTCTTAAATCATACTACGAGGATCAAGGTATTTTGCTTCAGACGTCATGTACTGATACACCGCAGCAAAATGGCGTCGTCGAAAGGAAGCATCGTCACATCCTTGACACGGCTCGAGCTTTGCGCTTTCAAGCTAGTCTTCCCATTCGATTTTGGGGTGAATGTATTCTCACTGCTGTTTATCTCATAAATAGGCTTCCTACTAAAGCCACTGGAAAGACGCCGTTCGAGATTCTGTTCGGCAAATCAGCTACATATCATCATCTTCGGGTATTTGGATGCTTGGTGTATTTTAAAGATACCCATTCACACATTGACAAGTTCGCTGAAAGAGGGCGAACAGGATTATTTTTGGGTTATGCGGCAAGTCAAAAGGGGTATCGGATTTACGATTTGGTCACCCGTCGTCTCATCACTTCTCGTGATGTGCAATTTCACGAGACCATTTTTCCTTGTCAAGATGGTACTCAAAAGGAGATTCATTGGATTCCTAGACCGGAAGCTCCCGTGAGTGATGACTCCCCGACGGAATCCCCAATTGCCTCGACCCCAGCTGATACGTCTGGGTCTGTTCCTGATGGGCCGGCTGCTGTTTCTCCAGCTGGGCCGTCCTCGCCTAATGGGCCACCCTCATCCGGCCCGGCAGCTTCTTCCCAGGACGAGTCATCCCCTTCGCGCGTTCAGCATGGGCCCTCGTCACCTGGGCCGACTGCAACTAGTCCCCAGCATTCTGCTGGGCCGTCGTCCTTTGATTCCGGGCCGTCCATGACAAGTCCCCAGCAGGCCACTTCTGGGCCGTCTCCTTCAGGCCCTGGGCCACGTCACTCCAGCGCTGCTCCATCTACTCCCGCTCCAGCTTTGCGGCGCGGGGATCGGCATCGCACTCGTCCCAAGTATTTGGAGCAATATGACACGGATCTCCCCTCCACACAGGGAAGTACCAATTCAGTCTTATATCCTTTGGCTAATTATGTGAATTACTCTAAGTTCACCCCTGGTTTTCGTGCTTTTCTTGCAGCACAAACTAGGTATGATGAGCCTCGGTATTTTTACCAAGCAGTCCGAGAGCAGGTTTGGCGGGACGCAATGACTCGCGAAATCAAGGCCCTTGAAGCTAATGGAACTTGGAGCCTCG